TTTTTTTTATTTTTTTTATAAAGGGAGACTAAAAAAAATACACATACTAAATGTGTTGAAGAAGCAGAAAAATAACTATGGGCAATGTTCTGCCAAGCTATGCCTTGACGATTAATTTGAAGTGTAGATTTTTAGTGAATTTATTATTCTAGTTGAAGTTTGGAGGTTGGGACACTCTCACGTATCGAGATAGTCACTTCTGTTGATGAAATCCAAAATATACTTGAGTGGAAAAGCAATCAATAATGTGTAAACGTCTTTACAATAAATACCCTAATGAGTGATTGAAAAATAAGTTTAGGGGTGTGCATCCCATGAGAAAAGAAAGGAAAATTTTAATATTGAAATTCGAGAAAATAACCAACCTAAAGGTCTATGATGATTAGGTCGATTATGCGTACACAAACATTGATTGGCCATGGATTAAGAATAAAATTGGTTTTTGTATCATTACTTATGAGATTTTTATGAATTGCTCAAACATTATCAATACTTGAGGAAAATACGTCAAGTTATTCAGTTCATTGATTTTTATTGGAGGTTTTCTTGTGTATTTTAATTATAGGTAAATTTCAACTTTAATGCAATTGTCAAGAAAATACAAACTTGGAGCTTAATTGGAGTTAATTTTGATCTTCGTATTCGAATATGTATTTTCTAAATCTCAGATTGATATTAAAATGGCTGATTGTAGAGGGATTCGAAGTCCTAGTAATTTTCATAACGCTTCCCATAATTTATCTAAATCAGTTAATTTTGACATAGATTTTAGATTGTCAATATAAAACACTTTAAAGATCTTGCTATTTGAGTGAAGTTAGGTTTAACTAATATATTTAGTCCGTGCACCAACAATACTTCACTCATTCTTTATTATTTGACTACGACACCGTGCACTTGCAGGATTTTAGCAAACAGAAAGCACATATCAAAATGCTTAATCTTCTCCAAATGAAAGAGATGGTAATATTGAAAATATCAGTAACTTTTAAGGGTACAAACTAATTACATACATGAAGTTTCATGGAAGGAAAAAAGTTAGAAGGAGGAGAAGAAATTTGAGGCAGAAGCTATGCCCAATCTACCTTGCTGACTCCTTGAAGGACTTTGAATGACCTTCATCGATCATCATTTTACTGTAACAATAACTACCAACTTGACCCCAACCTCTAAACTAACTCCTAAGAAACTGACCTACAGCTATATCGACAGCTTTTGGAGCCTTTCCTCTGGAAGAAAAAGAATGGTAACAGTGCAAAAGCACAAGAATATGTCGTGATATCATGGAGAGGCTGCTGAGTATAAACCTATCACCTTCGAGGTTAGGGATACCACTTGCCTTCTGATTCTAGTGGCTCTAGTAGATAAACACCACAATCAGTAAGTCCGACTGCAAATTGATTAGGCTTGGAAGGGTGCGCTGCAACAACTAAGGGATAGGCCCGTAAGCTGCAAAATGGTAATACAAAATAATTAGTATGGCGAAGAAAATGTACTTACAGATAATCACGAACAGTTTTCTGGTAATTGCATTCATTCATTGTAACTTGATTAAAAACAAATTCAAGAAATTTCAGTAGAGGCACCTTGGATTGGTAGGTAGGTATAAAGAGGGATTAATTCGACATCTCAAATCAAGTGATGACGCAGAAAGAACACTTATTCTTCCACATTCAAAGCTGACATATATGGATTTGCTATCGCAAGAATATGTAGCATATGTGATTGAGCCACTTGCTTGTAGTGGTAGCACCCACTATTTAGATTATGAAAATAAGAAAGAAATTGCATCAGAAGCCAAGGCAGGAACTATATTCGTAGTCAAAATACTTAGGAGTTCTCAAGCAATAACTCGAGAAAAATGTCATCTACAAGTAGATGATATTGGTGACAAACAAATGCAACTATACACTACACCTTCATATGCCGTTTCAAAGCAGGTACTTCATAGATTACTATCTGTGTCTCTTGGACTGCTAGTAAACATGTTTGATCATGGTGAAATTGAACACGGGTATCTGCAAGAGAAGCACCAGAGCGACCAGCTGGGCTTTGCAAGTATTCATTTGTTTGCTTCTCCCATGTATCAGTGCTCCAAACACACAGCTGGGTAAACAAAAACGGGTCAGTTTCCTCTAATAGGAACTTTAGTTTACCAATTGTAGAAGTATCTGAGACACAAGCTGTTCACCTGAGAATCAGCTCCTGAAGATACAAGCACATTAAGAATATTAGAGAAGGCAAGGCCAGTTATCCTTTCCTGATGAGCTTTGAGCTTGGTTTTGACCTGTTGCAAAGTTAACGCAGTGATAAATTCGATTGACTCGTTAAGATGTTTGACTCAAATTTAAGCCAGAAGCTTACTATACCTCATTAAATGTGGCATCATATATTTGAATAGATGAATCATCGCTGCCAATTGCTATGATGTTATTGTCTCGGGGGTGAAGTGCCAAAAATGTTGCTGCAGGTGGAGGAGACATGATTGTTTTTATTGTCTGTTGGTAGAACAAAAATGTTATAACAAGCAAGTTAGGAGGGGAACCACATTGAGTGCAACTCGTGTCTACGAAAGAGAATAAATTGTTTGGTCCAGAAATTCTCATCTCATATCAAACTGTTTTCAATATGTTTTAACAAATTATGAGAAACAAAAACTCTATATGATCCAACATTTTAAATGCATGAGATTAGCAGAACAAAAGCCACTTACTTTGAACGTCCCCATATTAAAAAAGGAAATTTCCCCTCCTGACACCGACATAAGATACTGATCATTATTGGACAGAGCAAAGCAATGAAAAGCATATTCCGGATTCATGCCACTAGTCTCATTGGTCATCATTGTCCCACTACGAGGTTGCCATAATTGAGGCACTAACCTTGCTCCTGCCTATAAGAATTGAATTGCGTTAAGAAGATACTGCTGGTTTTACGAGAAATAATGGAATCTGGGAAGGTTTCCAGTGTAATAATGGTACTGATATACCTTCCCCATTGAATTACTGTCATTCTCTGGCCATTTCCAGAGTTTATGTACAGCATTAACATATAGAGCCAGTATGGCAGATCCTGAATTGGTATACATCAATCTTGAAACCTGATAAATTGAAAATAAAATTTAGAAGGGCCTCATTAAGTGAGCGTCAGAAGCACAAACCAGAAATAAATGTTGAAACTATAAGAAAGTTTTTAAAGAAAACTCCTTCCCCATTGAATTACTGTCATTCTCTGGCCATTTCCAGAGTTTATGTACAGCATTAACATATAGAGCCAGTATGGCAGATCCTGAATTGGTATACATCAATCTTGAAACCTGATAAATTGAAAATAAAATTTAGAAGGGCCTCATTAAGTGAGCGTCAGAAGCACAAACCAGAAATAAATGTTGAAACTATAAGAAAGTTTTTAAAGAAAACTAGAGTTAGCTGCAAGAATTGTCAAGGTAAAGAAAATAATATTCTTTTAACAAATAACTTCAAAGCTTCTTCTTTGTCTTGCATGTTTTTCAGCAGTACCTTAAGCTAACTGGTGGCCTGTTGCTTAGACAAAGCACAGAGTTGATAGAAACTTGAATGTGGTGAATTTTTAATGTTGGAAATGGAACTGAATAAATTATGAGTATTACGATTTAGAATGACTGGTGTTCAACACAATTCTAGGCGGCTGTACTTGTATCATTAAATTATATGTTTAATTAAAAACAAGGATTTATGGCTCATTTGAAAGGACATATGAAATGCTGTACCTAAATTGGTGTTCAATACCATTGGTGCTAGATAGTATTATTCATTATGTTATTAAACAATCAATTTAGGAAGTTGAATCTCTTTTATTCTAATTTCGTATAAAACGTTTTGAGTTCTCTCTATCCACATGACCATGCACATAAATTCTGAGCTATGCGTTATGCCTCAGTATATGAGAGGGGGGATCGCCAAATTAATATCTGGGCAAAAATCTATCGAGGTACTTTAAATGACCGAGAACAGAGTTAACTAATACCCTCATCGCCACCAAACTATCTGGAAGTCTCAGTATACGACATTTTGATGGCTCATTTGCATCTATCAGTTCCCGCGATCTAGATTTCACAGAGGACTCACCTGCAATTGTAGGCTTCCCATCTTTCAAATTTTGCCTATTTTCATTCTACATGAAATTGATCACAAAAGTGAAGATTATATAATGTAAACTGAATAGTCGTAGTAGTGCAGACAAGAACTATTATCTTATGAAATATTATGCAATGCACCTATGTTATGCACGCCTAAATAAAAAATATGCCAAATTGCTATTCAACCATTGTGTCAAAGAAATTAATCAGATGTTTGGAAACAGAGATATCCATCTTAAAAGTTTGAAAGCAGCGTACCATTGAAACTGTGGGTGCTACTGGAGAAACTCTATCCTCAATATTTGATCCAGAAGAAGCATTAACATCATCAATTGTACTTATCGCAGGAGTTGAAAGCATAAACTGTAAACCAACATGACAGACCAAGGTGTACAATATGTCGAAGCTTTAAACTATAAGAACCAAGAAAGTATCTATTTCTAGAAAGAGGCCAACACGAATATGAGGAATTTAGGATGGTAAATCCATACTTCATTAGACATTTCCAATCGTTTTGTTCCCTTCAAGAGTAGTTCAGAGTGATCGTTTTGGATGTCTACAGCTGGTTTATTTTTAGGAGTTGTAGGATGCTTCAAAACATCTGCTAGAAATTAAGTTAGTAACAAACAGACAGGGGGAGGTGGGGCAAATAACTATCTTTTTACATTTTTATCAACATACGCTTCCACGCTTTAGACTAATGGAAAAGTTAGAATTTATGAATACCAGAATTGTTTTGGGTGTTGAAACCAATTGGACATGCAGAAGCTGAAGGGTGAGGAACTGAAGATGGATAACTAGCTGAAGGTTGGGGAGCCGATGGTGCATTAGTCACACATCCCAAGGGAGAAGTTGGCAGAGGACCTTGAGCTCGAAATGGCTTCACAAAAAGGATAAAAATTCAATTTCTTATCTCATCATTAAAACAACCCCAATGCATAAGCATTTTTCTTGCCTATTTTAGCTAAGCTTACAGTTGGGAATTCCGCAGGCTTAGGAACAGCACCCTGAAGCAGACTAGTTATGGCACTAGTGGACTGTGAAGTTGGAACAGCAGCCAAATGATTCTGCAAGTTCAAACTGAAAGCCAACACAGAAAAATGCCGATATATATGTCAACCTGAAAGAAAATGCTGATTTACAAATACGGAAGAAATAAACCTTAGTCTCAATGTTGAGGGATTGAAGATGGGGAGCTTCAGCTTATCACGAAACACAGGGTTTGCTTCTATAAGCTTCTTAACATAGGCAAACATATAGCCCCTAGCGTTAATTAGCTCTCTGGATACTTTCTCATCCTCCCTGCACGTCATTGTATCAAATCAACATTCTTGAAGATAAATCAATGCAAACTCCCATAAATGATAAAGATATAATGACTACCAAGAAAAGTACTACTACTCTCTCACCTGATATTTTCAAGAAAGTTAATTCGAGTTAAATATTGAAGTAAATCACCTGTCCTGGGCTTCTAAGTTCTTATGATGTTGGATCACTGTGAAGATATTCGTGGAATTTGTGTTATCCTTAAGCTTTGTGAACCCAGATAAGTAATTTTCCACCTCATCCCAATCCCCATTGGTTACCCTGTCCTGGAAATAGGGCATACTGAAGAAGATTCCTGACTCTTGTTCCAATCTTAGATCACCACAAAGAATTCAACCATTATTTCACCAATTATACAAAGGATTTCCCAATATATCAACAATATTCAACAGAAAAATATGTAATTATTATAAACAAATCTTGAATTTTTGAAAACCCATGTTTCTTTAGTGAATTAATTAAGCTAAAGAATCATACAATAGATCCTATTAAGAATCTTTTAATCCAAAAATAATTATTGATTTCCCCATTATCTCAACAATCAGGAAACTTAAAATATCCAAAAATGAGAATGAAAGTAAAATTAAATATAGAAAATCGAATCCTTATTTGTTAACAGTCTGAATTTATCTAACCCAACTGTTTTGATCTATAATTAATAATCAATTTCCTCATTTTCTTAACAATCAAAAAACTAAAAAAATCCCCAAAATAATGTTCGATATTGAAATTTGAATCCTTACGTGTGAACAGTTCTTTTGAAATTCTTTTCATGAAGAAACTGATGTATCGAAAACAACAGATCTTTTTCCAAAGACGACATGCTCGCTTACGCTCAATAACCAACCCTGCCTAAAAAGAAATGAAAATCCACAAAGATGAAATCTCCATTCCACCTATACATGCATGCATACAAGCTTCCTCTCTACGTGGGTTTGTACCTTGAATGAATGAGGAGAGAGAGGACAACTCGGAGGGTTTTTCTGTAGAGAGAGAAAGGAAAGGAACACTGTATGTTTACTGGAGTTTCTCCTGCTGGAGCTTTAGAGTTTAGAGTGAGAGAGAAAAAAGAAATAGTGGGAAATGATAAGACCGTTGATAAGTTTGTAATATAAGCATATTGAATATTTTTGATAAGTTGAATGCTTTGCTGTATTGAATTCTGTTAAGTTAGTTATAAGCTTTTAAGCTCATATAAAACGGTTTAAGTAAATATATTAAGAGCCTGTTTGATAGTGATTACAAGAATCAATTTTTCGACTATTAGAGTGAAAGTGGGTTCCATGTGTGAGTAAAAAAATCAAAAATGACGGCTGAAAAAGTGAAATAACGATAAAAAAAATTGATTTTTTGAGATGAAAATTGCTACCAAACGAGGCTAAGGCTCGTTTTGTCAAGGTTAAAAAGTAAAAAGTTGCTTATAGACCTAATAGGTTGCTTTTAAACATATTGGTGTTTGATAGTCATTTTTATGTAAATATGCATTTTAGAATAGTAAATTGATATGAAATGTGTGGTTGAAAAATAAGGAAAAGTTTTTTATTTACGTGTAATATTATTTTAATAAAAAATATGCAGTTAAAAAGAAGAAAGAGAAAAATGCAATTTGAAAAAAATAGTTACCAAATGGGGCCTTGGATAATTTTTAAAAGTGTAAATGTAACCATTTGTTAAGACTTTTGAAAAGTTAAATTTTGTTTTAAAAATAATAAGTTACTTTTTTGAGCATGTTCGGATTATATTCTGAAAGTATTTTGTCTGGTTAAGAGAACTTTTAGAAAAAGTTGACTTAAAGTAATTTTCTAAAAAAATACTTCTACAAGAAGTAAAATTAGGAAAAAAAAAATAAAATGAAAGTCCAGCCAAATGAGCTATATGATAGCTTCATAAAAAAGTGCTTCTACGAAAAACAGAAGCAAAAATGTAAACCATGCCAAATGGATCCTATAACTATGAGTAGGTTGCACATTATTAAGGTTGGCAACGGTTCGGTTCGAAAAAAACCATCACCGAATCACCAATTTTTTGGTTATATCATAACCGTACCATAACCAAGGAAGTCGGGTCGGTTCGTATTTCGATTTGGCTTGGTTCGGACAATTAATAACCACAAATAGGAGCAAATCCAGGATTTTGACCCAACTAGAGCAATCGTTAATCGTCAACAATCAACATGCGTATAGCGATATCATTTAATAATATCAAACTAAATAATATTAAAATTTATTCTATCTATATGTAAATACACTAAAATGTAAAAAACGTATATTTATTTCAAGTTACAGTACAATACAATTCGAAATAACATAAAATAAATGATACATGAGACTTTTTGTGTTATCAATGCTCAATAAAACGTTCGCTTGACTAGAAGTAATTACGAGATTAAATGCACCACTACAAAAATTAGGTTGGGACGTAAATATGCATTTTAGAATAGTAAATTGATATGAAATGTGTGGTTGAAAAATAAGGAAAAGTTTTTTATTTACGTGTAATATTATTTTAATAAAAAATATGCAGTTAAAAAGAAGAAAGAGAAAAATGCAATTTGAAAAAAATAGTTACCAAATGGGGCCTTGGATAATTTTTAAAAGTGTAAATGTAACCATTTGTTAAGACTTTTGAAAAGTTAAATTTTGTTTTAAAAATAATAAGTTACTTTTTTGAGCATGTTCGGATTATATTCTGAAAGTATTTTGTCTGGTTAAGAGAACTTTTAGAAAAAGTTGACTTAAAGTAATTTTCTAAAAAAATACTTCTACAAGAAGTAAAATTAGGAAAAAAAAAATAAAATGAAAGTCCAGCCAAATGAGCTATATGATAGCTTCATAAAAAAGTGCTTCTACGAAAAACAGAAGCAAAAATGTAAACCATGCCAAATGGATCCTATAACTATGAGTAGGTTGCACATTATTAAGGTTGGCAACGGTTCGGTTCGAAAAAAACCATCACCGAATCACCAATTTTTTGGTTATATCATAACCGTACCATAACCAAGGAAGTCGGGTCGGTTCGTATTTCGATTTGGCTTGGTTCGGACAATTAATAACCACAAATAGGAGCAAATCCAGGATTTTGACCCAACTAGAGCAATCGTTAATCGTCAACAATCAACATGCGTATAGCGATATCATTTAATAATATCAAACTAAATAATATTAAAATTTATTCTATCTATATGTAAATACACTAAAATGTAAAAAACGTATATTTATTTCAAGTTACAGTACAATACAATTCGAAATAACATAAAATAAATGATACATGAGACTTTTTGTGTTATCAATGCTCAATAAAACGTTTGCTTGACTAGAAGTAATTACGAGATTAAATGCACCACTACAAAAATTAGGTTGGGACATCAATTGAAAACATAATTTCACAATTTGTATTAGAATTAAAATTAATTTTAAAATATAATTAAAATTTCAATTTTCAATTCTCCGCACCAATTTATCACAAATTATAAATTCTCCAATTTCTCATTTTTAATTTTCACAAATCACATAATCACACACAATACTCAAATTAATCTTTAATATCACAATTCACAGTTAATATATTCTTAAATTCTCATTTAACACATAAATAAATAAAAAATACTAAGTCAATTTAACAAACAATATTTCAAATGAAAATGCAAACAATATCTCAATTCCCAAATATAAAATTCGAATTTAACAAACAATATTATCAACATAACAATATTAAACAATATTCTTGTCCCTTAATCCTCATGCATCGAACTTGATTCCTATTCAATAACTCGAAAGCTCCAACATCAATTCATATCCATTCATTGAAAGAATAATGGAAAGCTCAATTGTCTAATTTTTTTTAACGGGTACTTATAAAAAAAAATTAACGGGTAATCGGTTCGAGGGAGTTGACGACGTAAATACCATAACAGCCCTTCCCCAAACCAGATCATTAAAATCAAATATTATATCCACCACATTGCACCATTGGTTCGATTTTTTTCTCCCCATTCGATTTGATTAATTGTGATTTTCGATTTCGATGATTCGAGTTGACATCCCTACACATTATCACCAATTCTAAAAGGAAAATATAGGGGTTGCACCTTATCTTCTTTCATTTATTTATTTTCGAGATAATAGCAGTGTGATAAATTAGCAGTTACATCTTATGGTGATAAATTAGCTAAAAGATACAATGGAGAAATTAAGGGTGTGTTCGATTTTCTATTTTCAAGTTGTTTTTAGTTTTCGATTTGTAAAACATTCAAAACTTATTTGGTTTAATATTTTGGAATTGCATTTTCGAAAAGATTAAACTTATAACATAAACTTCAATATATATCTCTTTGAAAACATAAAAAACACGGTAAACAAATGTTTAAATAAAAATCTTTAAAAAAAATAAATTAAAAGCACTTCTAAACACTTAAATTTTAAAAAATTAAAAATTAAAAATTCTAAAAAAAAAAAAAAAGAACTTCAGAAAAATAAAATTCTAAGATTCTAATTTAATAAAAAATAAAAAATCATAATATTCTAAAAAAATATGTTATTTAAATGAAAATAGATAAAATTTCTCAGTCTACATGGTTAATTTCTATTTCATATCTTTTCTCATCTTAATTTATCATTTGCTTCTAGCTTTTATAGCTTAAAAATATATATTACTTGATAATATATTAACATAAAATTATTTACTTTACTTGCTAAGCAAATTAATAGAATAAAATATCATAAAAAGTTTCTCAAAACTTCGAATTAAATGTATTTTCCAGTTTTCTATTTTAAGAAATAAGTTTGTTTTTTTTTTTTTGTTCAAATGATAAATAAAGAATTTTTCAGAAATCTTAAAATAGATTCTTAAAAAAAATTGAAACACAAATCAAAAGAACCGTAAATATTCCGACACATAAGAGAAGATTCCTTAAGCTCGTTACTTCTTTTAAAAATACATTAATAATGTAATTAAGAATGTTACTGAAATTATTATTATATCAATATTTCATGTGATGGATTTTTCTATTTGTACATCGAGATTGACACCCCAGTATACCGATGACCTCACAAGAGAGGGGGCCTTGACCAAAAAAATAAAAATAAAAATCGTCGGCCCTCCTCTTATGAGGAGGTTTGTACACCGAAGTGTCAACCTGAGTATACATGTAGACAAACCCTTCATGTGATTATAGGTATGAACAGGGGCAGAGCTGAGATTTTAGTTTAGCGCGGGCAAAAATTTTTCGACGTCAAATGTCGAGGTTTTGGTCATGTATTTAATGACGCTAAAAAAATAAAATAATAGTACGATAATACTAAAAACGACATAATTTATATATTTCACTTGTTTCTTGTGAGTTTTAAAACTCTGTGCGAATTGGAACTGCGACACTGCAACAGGGACGAATTCTCTCACTCACAGACAAATGGTTGGATTGATTCAAATGAACGAATGGGTTTGGGTCAATTGAATTTTGAGAGAATGGGTATAATAGGGCTTCTCTCTCTGAACTGGACATCGTATATTGGAAAAAGATAATGGATATTTACTACTATTGATATTTGCAACTTTAAAAGTAGGTTAAAAAAATAAAAAAAAAATCTGCCCAAAAGTCCAGTGCGGGCAAATACATTGGCTCCGCCCATGGGTAAGAAGGTTGACAAGATTAGTGGTACAAGACAGTTCGACCATGCTTGTACTCAGCCAAGAAATTGTGACTTGCACTCATCGATAACGTAAAGCACATATGAGAAAGTGTTAATAATCAATTTAAAAAAAAAAAAAAAAAGGATGAAAACGAGTGTTAAATGAGTGAATATACTTGTACATCCTCGACCTGTAAAGACATGCATGGCTCTTGGTCTGTACACATCAATCATTTAAAAATTTGAGATTTCAGAGGATCATTCCTCTACACATTTTCCATTTTTTTTTTCCATTAGAAATATTTAACACATTATATTCTTTGTCCTGTGGTATAGGCAGATTGAGAGCTAACAACGTCGACCTTCTTTTTTTATTTTTTTCTTTATTTTGGTAATTTTTTATTTAAAATTAATTGTTTATACAATTTTGTTCCTAGAACAAATGGACGTATGTGAATCAAATGGCATTTTAATGGATTCTTTGACAAAGACTATCCACGGGACTAATGGTGCACCTACTTGATCCTTTCTGTAGGTTAGGAAACAACTTGCAACTTCATCAATAGATTGGAGATCATGAATGCAATTATCTCCTCTTATTTTTCATTTATTTGTTTTAAATAAAAAAGTGGTGTACAATTCAATTCATGGTAAACTACTTTTTCATTCAATTCAATTTACATGATTTTTCAATATGCTGACATCAATGAAATGAACTACAAAATCAAATCTCCATTATAATAAAAATGAGATGTACATAAGCATGTCTCTTGTAAAAATCGATACTCGCAAAATATATTAAGTCACTTTTGGTTCAACTACATAATCAAATTAAAATATAAATCAAAGTCAAAAATTAATTTCATGTGACTTTTATCTTAAACAAACAGGAACTAAGGAAATGTATTCAATTGAGACTTTTAATGACTTTTGGGGATTTAAAAAGTTTAGAAGCATTCAATTGAGACTTCTAAAAGTCACGGTGTATTCAATCTTAAAATAAAATTCTATAGAAATCTATGAAAAACTTTATTAATTCTATACAAATCTATAAAAGGTCCACGAAATTCATAGAAGTTATCACTTAAAAAAAGTCCATCAAAATCTTCAAAAGTCCCAATTGAATACACATCGTATTAAAATTGGTAAGACTGAGCAGCGAGAGGTGTTGCAGGTGTCCAAAGATAGGATTAGGGCATCCGGCTTATGTGCGGCTTGATTTCAGACACATGAAGAAGAAGATGAATGGTAGAAAATGAGAGAAAACATACAAGTAATACAACATGAATTCATTAATCAACGTCGCAAAGTATGAAGTGCACAATTTATTTCTGAAACTACAGTTAAACCAAGTTCTACAACATATCTATCGATAGATTCTCTTCTCGTGCTAAGGACAAGAAAAATAGTACAAGTGTAATTGCTAAAATCTTCGCTACCTCGTGGAAGCTAGTAACTAATGCAAAGGAAAAGAAATAAGTTCCTTTCTAACAGATGAAAGACAATTTGATGAGTGAGATGTCTCTAACTTATGTCAACTTTAAAATTTTAATCTGGAAAAATGGCAGAACCTGTAAGAAGTTCATCCTGTTGAGCGTAAACAACCTCCTGGGAGAAGGAACTTGAACTTTTCTGCATTCTCTATCAAGTAAGCTGGAAGATGAACAGCAGAAGCTGACGGGGTAATTGAACCCATCTTTTTGAACAATTCCTTAAAAGTATACTCTTCGGGTAACATGTCGAAAAGGTCATCTCCCCTACAGATAAGTTTTTGAATTCTAGAATATTTCATAAATTCTTTATGCCTCACCCGGTCTGCATGACTATAGGCAGTCATTTTGAATACAAATTCTCTCAAATACCTGAAGCAAAAGCTACAGTGCCAACCTGCATCGGAAAGAATAACATCCGTTTGGCGTGAATGTCGATATTGGGTCCACGGGCTGTAAATATGGATCGTGGCACGCCAGCTGCTATAGTCGACAGGGAATTCAAAGGAATACATATAATCCCTCAACTCAAGATGCAGCACGGGAGGAACCTCATCACACCATTGCAACAGTTTCACAGTGTGAGGACTTGGGATTTCATCAGTGTCTGACATAATGAGTAAGTCGCCATTGGATATACCTGCCCAACGAAGCAATCCATTCATAGCCACACGCTGCTCAGATTCAAGTTTAAATGGGTCGTCGTGTGACCCATGTGATGCAATGCGTCCAGGAAATGTGCCATGAACAATCTTTTCTTCAGCAAAAGCAAATCGGTTCCGATTTGTAGCAAAATAGAGAGGTTTTGGGATGCCTGTGAAGGTAGTGTTCGCTTCCAAGATTACAAATTTAGTAACATATGGATGGAGTTCCTGCCACCTAATCTCAAGCAAGTCCAATTCATTGCTGAATATTATTCCATCAAAAACACGGCGTGGTTTTGAACGCAAGGACCAACCATGGAGGCGACAAAGGTTTTCCATAGAAACATTCTCTGCATAGTAATGTGGCAAATGCTCAAATTGCAGTGGAGGATTGTCCCAAAGTGGACGAAAGAAATAGGAGATCTTCTGACTGTGAATAAAAATTCCAATAACACAAATTGGTACAAGTATTAGTAGTACAATAAAAATGAACTTTTGAGGAGAGCGTCTGGCGCTGAAGCGGAGAGTTCTTGGGGCCATACTGCGAGAAGCATTATTCAGGTTCATTGGCTAATGCAGAATCGGCACACCACCAATCATTATCTGCATGATTAAAGAAGAAGTGGATAAGAAGGAAAATCAGCAAACTACCCAGCTAAAATTTTGCAAATACATAATAGGACTGTTGTAACAAGAAGCATGTCTGATAAGAATGAATACACAAATCTGCAACATTTTGGGTCTCTCTCTAATGCTAAGTTCGATTGGAGGATCCTGGAGGTGAAAGGATTGAAAGGCAGTGAAGAGAATCGATGATTGGCCACCTTTTACTTTTGTATGAGTGAAGGTGAACAGATCAATAAGTTTGGCCCCAATCTTTCCCATGCACTCCCCTCCTAATTATTCCTTTCCTTTCCCTTCCCTTCTCTTCCCCTCCATCACTGTCAAGCCGAATGCATCATACCTTTTCCATTTCATATCAATATATGATCATGATAATGCGATGGGATGACAGACTGGCACTAGGAAATGAATAAATATCAGTTTCATTAAACTCAATGGTTTGCAAGATGGTAAATCAAAATGACGGCGTAAAGATTTTACGGTCAAAATAAAAAATATATATATTTGAAAAACCAGTAGGAGATTCCATCTTTTTCTGCACTCTTGTTGAAACATATGGTGTTTGGCAACATTAAAAAAAGAAGCATTTCAGAAAAGAGAAAATTTATAAATCAAAACATTTTCTATTATGCCCTTAGAAGCACTCAAATTAGGCCATTGCATTTAATACTTGGGTCTATCTGACCATTAAGATGCTTTTGAATAGTAGACATTACCAAAATCAATTTACAAACTATCTCCCTCCCTCCTCCTTTTTCAATTATTAAGTTATTTTAGAGATTATGTCATGACCATCGACAAATCTACCGTGGGAGCAGTGGGGTTACCTGCCCCCACACTAAATTTTAAATCCAAAATTTTGCAGTTTGCACAACTTTTTTCAAGATTTCCAAAAAATTCCTTAGCAGTTTTCAATTTTGCCCTCAAAATTAAAAGTTTTTGAAAGTTGTCTCCACAATTCTAAAATTCTAGCTCTGCCTCTAATCATGACAGATACCATCAGAACAAGTGGTTCTCAAGATTATCTCCCAAGGAAAAACTATCCCAACAAGTGAAAGATCACAATGAATTAAAATCCTTATCTGGCCATCTTTCTTCAAATTTGATGATGATGAAGTGGGAGAAAAAAGTACCTACATATTTTATGTATCAGCATCCCGATAGGACAAATAAAAAGTGAAGCTGGTGGGAACACAGTGTATAGTGCCTGACACTTCTGAAAGGATTAAAACGTGACTCTTTTTATGCCTAGAAGATCTCGTTTGAGTACTTTTGAGTCAACTAAGTATTTGACAATCATCATAACATAACCAGTGAAATCATCTTTAAGGTTCTTTGAGTCCAGAAAGCAAAAGAGGTATAAGTAAGGACTGGAAGGGTAAAAATCAAATTTGAGATATGAAATCATTTTATGATGATTTTTCTTTATCTAAAACTACAACATAATGTTGGGGATTGATTAAAAACCGAATGAAAAAGAAGGAATATCGAATGCTCGAAATTATACGTAATATAGTGCTGCTGCACTTTTTATGATTGTAGAAGAGAAGATATTATATTGTAAATTTTTGTGACTTCGATACTTTTAATGGCTTGAGTTACATGGGTATTTATAGATAAGATTTAACATGTATCTAGCCTAACTCATGAACCAACATTAAATAGATACGTTTCTCCTCCTCTAGTACATTAATGGACAAATGCATGTATAATTATAATTCATGAATCTAGATAATAAATACAAATTACGTTTCCAACACCCCCTCTTAATTTGCAATTTTGAGAATGTCTCTTGCCTTTTGAAATTTCTCGACATAGATCGCCTTGGTTAGAAAGTCTGCAGGTTGCTCATTCGTTCCAATGAATTCCAAGCTGATTTCACCATTACTCACTATATCTCGGATGAAATGATGTCGCAACTCAATGTGTTTTGTTCTCGAATGAAACACCGGATTTTTTGTCATGGCTATCGTAGACATATTATCACAATAAATTACTGTGGGCTGTTTTTGAACTTGTTTCAAATCTGCTAGTAATCGTCTTAACCAAATAGCTTCGCAGGTTGCATCTGTAACAGCAATATACTCAGCTTCCGCGGATGATAACGCTACTGTTTTTTGCTTCTTTGAACTCCATGAAACAATATTAGTTCCGAGACAAAATAAATAACCTGAAGTGCTTTTTCTATCATCCAACGAACCTCCCCAATCACTGTCGCTATATCCAATCAACTTGCTCTCATTTTCTTTTTGTTTTTGAACTTGTTTCAAATCTGCTAGTAATCGTCTCAACCAAATAGCTTCGCAAGTTGCATTTGTAACAGCAATTTACTCAGCTTCCGTGGATGATAACGCTACTGTTTTTTGCTTCTTTGAACTCCATGAAACAACATTAGTTTCGAGACAAAATAAATAACCTGAAGTGATTTTTCTATCATCCAACGAACCTTCCCAATCACTGTCGCTATATCCAATCAACTTGCTCTCATTTTCTTTTACATATTTGATGCCTATTTTCTTTGTTCCTTGCAAGTATCTCACGACTCTTTTAGCTGCTGCAAAATGAAGTTGACTTGGTTCATTCATGAACCTTGAGATCATGCTCACGACTTGAACAATATCCGGCCTTGTGTTTGTGAGATAAATCAGTGAACCAACAAGACTCCTAAACAGTTTTGCATT